CATATCTATGATTGCAAAAAACCCAAGCAAAATCCTACAGCACTCGCTACCCACCACTTTGAACACCAACACAATTTTGACTTCAAAAATCCAAAAATATTACATACAGAACAAAACAAATATAAACGTAATTTCTTAGAAATGGTTTATATCAACAGAGATAAACACAGCATCAACTACAGAACAGATACATGCAAACTCAGTCGCAGCTTCGCCAATATCATTAATCAAATACAATACAAATAACATACAAACATCATTAAATTACATTCCACACATCAAATACTTTTCACATAGTCTAATTTTCCAACAATTTAGCTTTCCTTTTCCTATTTATCCTCTTTCTATATAATCCTGAAAGAATTATCTGGCCGAACTATTACCAACACATTGTTCCCCTTTGTCGGTTTTTTTCACTTCAAAGAAGCCGACGCCTTGCACAAAATTGTCTTTTCTATACCGACTTCCTTCCCCACCCCTTCAAAACCAAACATATATAAACATGAAACAGCAAAATCTCACTGGCACTCTCAATACGACACGCAAGGATGGCACAATTACACAGAAGACAAACACTTTGAGTGAGTAGAAATACTTTGTTTGAATATAAAATATATTTTGCATTGTAGAAATTCACTTGTCCACATCCTAAATGTATTTGTTAAATGTAAACATTGTTTGTAAATCCCAGGCCCTGGAGATGATCTCAATAAAAGATCGAAACGTTGGCACGATAAAGAAAATGTTTTTCTGAAACCTACATCACACCCGACCGCATCTCACGATTTCTGAATTACTATCGATTAACGGTCACTAATCTCTACACATTATTACACTATATTGTTTTGTAGTGCATGTCGTTTCGGTCTAAACAGAGGTTGGTATTATTGGGCAATCAGGGTGGATTTATGGTTTATGTTAGATTTTGAAGTATGTATAAATAGCGAATAATTTAAAAAAATTTATTCTTTTATGTCGATAAATATCATCGTTTGAAAATATGAAGTAATTATAAGTAATGGATAGACTGGTGTCATTTGTACAATCAATAAACCGTAATACCGTAGTTATCTCGTAAACTTCCCTTTTTATCTAATGAGGAAAGTTTACTCTTTGCATTATATTTTTAACATAATTAGTTTTTTTTTTATAAATATTATAAAGGCATACAATCACGATGGGTCAAAACTGCCTTGACGATGAATTAATCGTAGGGAGAAGAAAACAGAGAGCGATAGGCCAGGAGGGCAGGGACATCAAGAGCGGGCGCACCCCCACAGCGAACCGGACACCACAAGACCAGGCAAGAACCAGACACCCAGACCAGCTCCTCTCCACACAAGACCTTAGTGGTCAAGAGACAGTGGCAGACTTCTTAGAGGGCTGCGCATGGTGTGCCAGCATCCGCAGCCCTCCCAAGTTCTGGGGTTCAAACTCAACCCAGAGGCCAGCCCACGCTAAAACTATCATCTATCTGAGATATGACACGATGGCGACCTGATCCATGAATTGAGTAACCACTAATATCTTCGTTGCGACGGTAGACACTTCGGGCTGTTGTTCTTGGAATGTTAACCCCCTGACTACATACGTTTCGAACGTTTCTAGCCGAATCTGTATGACTTAAAACCCTCATTCAAACAAATTTGAAACTTAAAAAAGGGTACGGAACGTTAGAAAGAAGTTTTACAGAAAAGTCAACAAAGAAGAGATTGACTATTCAAAAATTTATTTACAAAATCTAACAGCAAACGCAATATTTTATCTGTGTTTTATTTACCTCTGATCCTTTAAAACAGACTAAATACTGTTGTAAGATAATCAATAGAGGATTGTCTAATAAATAATTAAAAATATTAAAGGCTGCCACTTTTTTTTCCACTCAGTGTATTCATCGCCCATCGCTCAGTCCGCCTCTTCTCGCCTCCCTCTGTGTCTTCATCTTTTATATCTTCATCATTCATTCATCTTAATGGAATGGTTACAAAATGGTGGAAAATCCTTTAGCCAATCCAAGATTAATTAAAGTTAAATTGTATCTTTTAATATAATTAAAAACACAATCGTTTTAATTATATTTAAAACATCCGACACATTCATCTCTGGATAAATATCTGAACATCGAGACGATTAAGAACCTTCAAATTACTTAAATGAATTAATTTCATTTACGTATAAAACATCTCTTGCTGTTATTGAAATAAGGTCAATTGAGGAAAATGAAGGCTGCCCAGTCTGGCGAATTATAACATTTTAGACAGGACTTTTTCCAAAAAAGCAACTCATTTGCATCATCACACTTGACAATGATTTCATGAGCATTGATTATGATTCCTTGCTTTTAGGGCCTTGATGTATCAATTATATATTTGGGGATAGGGATAGGGTTAAATGAGTCGGCCTCGAGGCCTTTCGCAGCTGAATAGATCCATTGTGCTCCTCAATTTTTTTGGAGTTGAACTGTGGGGTACTGCCAAATCTTCCAATATCCAGCGCATCCAGTCCTTCCAATCGAAAGTCCTTAGACAAATTGTCAAAGCACATTATTATGTCACTAACCTCACTGACCAAAGACCTGAACATGTCACCTTTTGTCAACGAACTGATCCAATCCAGATTCCAAACCTTCCACACCAACCTTTCGCACCATCCGAACCATACTGCTCGAGCCTTCTCCACTCATTCCCATCCTGACAACCCACCACGTCGCCTCATCCGACGATGACCTCGGGACCTCATTGACGCCTAATCATACACACTGAGTGCAAGCAATGGCTGGCTCCTCAAAGCATGTGTTTTACCGGTGCAGTGCTGGCATTAGTGCTATGTGCTGTGTAATATATTAATCATGTGACATATTTGTATAGTATACTTTCATGTATAGGTAACAAATAAATTTAAAAAAATTAATAACGCACATCAGCATATTGTTCCTACTAGATGGTTTCAAATGTCTTATAATTTATTCTCATAACTATATTTTATATACAATATTCTTATAATTATATTTTATGTTTATATTAATATTCTTATAATTTATAGTGTATAAATAAATGTCATTTAAAGATTTCTACAAAATAATATTGTTTTTACACATTAAAAACAATGTAGTTCATTTTTTTATATAATAAAAACAACAATGGTTTTCAAACCTGCCAAAATATATTCGACCAAAGAGATCAACTTGAACTTATGTATAAGTTTTAACATTCATGCCCATCTGTAAACTTAACAACCAAAACGTGATGTATTTTTTAAAAAACAGTTTATTATTTATATATTTTATTTACAAAGAGTGAGAAAATGTACATTTGCTTTTTAAAAAATAAAAATAAATATCTTCTGTAAAAAATAAAAATGAATTGTATTTTTAAACATATTCTTCGTTCAGGAACTCTTCAAGCGTGTGTTCGTAACAGGCGATGACAAACATGATCGCACCCCCGCAAAACATACCTCCCAGAACCAAAACAACGTCTAAAATTGTCTTGCATTGCTTTTGCATTTCTGGTACCTGACGAGGAATAAACATTGTTATTAGTATAGTTTTTTTTGTAAGTAAAGTATTGGAAATCTGCTGCTTACCAGTGTTGCTAAGGATATGTAAAGGAATGTTCCACCGGTGGCAGCATAAATCCAATAAGAAGCGTTCTCAAATTCCCCAAGCCAAAGTCCTGCTAGCACTCCAAGCAGACTGAGCACCGAGGACAGCAAATTGTACACAACCGCCTTGCGGATTGTCATACCCGTTTGGAGCAATATTGCAAAATCTCCTGGAATTCGAAAAATGGTAAAAATTTAAATAATATAATAAAAGCGTCGTGTATAAACAATCATGAAACTATAAACTATAAACAGTTGAAAATCGAACTTTTCTTCCTAAGCATTAAGTATTCTTTTTTATTATTCAGCCTTGCTAATTATTGATCAAAGAATTTACATATCAAGAAAAAATATGATCCTATTCCATAAATAAACAAAAGGAAAAATTCTTAATGTACAAATCTCTTTTATTTTGAAAAATTAGTTTTATATGTCCCTTGTCCCTTGTCAGAACATTGGTTTCACCATTTTTTGGGAATAATTTCACTAGGCTTATCTTTATAATCTTTAAGTTTATCTTTTAATGACTTTGCCCATTAAAGTATTTAATTTTTATAACCAAAGCACTTAAACGTTTTTTAACTAATTGAGCTGATAATTTATAAGTAAGGAGAATATCGTATTATTTGTAGTCTAATTTTCGTATGATTTTCGTCTATTTTTTTACAAATATATGAGAAATTATTAATTTTTTTCACAGACACAATAAACAATTGTTACAAATTTTAGAGAATTAAATTTTCTTTAAAAGTGGTCCCTTAAAACTTTCTATCAATGATACATGTTGAGATAAACAGCATTAAATTATGGAGCAATTATTCATGATTTTATATTAAGGTGATGCCTGAAATAATATTAAAGATTGTTTGTTTAATTAAAAATCGCGTTACAGCCCTATCTTCATATCCACAAAACATAAATTAGTGTAAACTAAAATTAAAAATACAAATGTAAATAATCTTATTTTAATCACACTGACTAATCCTTAAACTTTAAATTGTTCATTGTCACTTAATCCTTAAAAGGTTAATCATAAGAAAACTAAAAAGGTGGATAATAGTTTGGGAGAATTGTTTTTAAGTTAATAGTTTCTGAGATATTAACTAAAGAACAGAAAAAACACGTTTAAGCGTTTTTCACTCTGTACTGTAATTGTACTAATCATTTGTAGTAGTAAATATTTCTATAAAAAATGTTTTTAGTTATTAATCGAATTTATACTAATAGTAAGATTTTTAGACAGACCTGGTGCCTTTGGTAGTAGCTCTCATAACATTTTATATTAAAAATTGGTAAAAGAGTTCATGTTAAAGGAAAAATTTTTCTTCTCTTCAAGTTTAATTTCGTTCTTGTTTTGAAAAACTTAACAATTTCTGAGATATTAACGAAAATGTAGGAAAAACGCGTTTTTAAGGAAGTGTTTATGACCCTTTATCGTAATTAAACATCATTTGTAGCATAAATGTTTCTATAAAAAATGTAGTTTTGGGTTATTAAATATTTTATGACTTTTCTTTTCTATTCACAGATCAGTGGTATTAATGAAAAAATCGGATTACACCATTCAAAAGAACTCAAGGTTTTCTTAAGACGATAAAACTAAAGCATTTTTCATCAATGAAATAATGTATTCTTCTTGTATTAAGGAAATATCTTTTTATATATTTTGTTCTAATTTTGAAAAATTTTAAATGATGTTTGGACACTTTAAAATATATTAAATTGTTCAAAAATGTTTTTAAATCATATTAAAAAGTCAACTTTTGATTGTTTTTATAACATAATTGGTCTTATAAATTTCCATCCACTGAAATCAAGGCCTTTGTTTGCCTGAAAAATCTTATTTCGGTTATCTTATCTGGTTTTCAAAAATGAGAAGATATACGCACTCTTGTGTTGTGAAGGTCCACTTCTTGTCCAAACCATCTGGCTTCGAATACTTCGCCAAGAGAGCGACACAATGCACACGGTATATCTCACGAGTTCATTTTCTCCCGTTTTAGATTGAAAAGAACTAAATAATGCTAATAACCTTATTGTGAATAGCACAATATACGGAAACTGAAAATGTAACGAGTGATAAAACTCTTTCTTGAAATAATCCTATGTTTACGTTTGCTCCTCGCGTGTTAAATTACTTTTCTTAGTAAAATGGACTTTTTTGATTCCGTTTATTTACAGTGATTATTGCAATGTTTCAGCCTATGCTTTATCAGATTGTTTGCACATAACGCCAAAACCAGTATGATATATGCCAACTGAAAATAAAATGGGGCTAAAAACTTTTCCCTCGGGTAATTCGAAGGCCATCTATTGCAGATATGATTTTTTTAGGTTTACATTTTCTTTCACTTTGGACCAGAATCAATTTCTTCTTTCAGTAGTTTTCATCAATCCTCACAGCTTTTGTTAACTTTTTTTCAGAAAAATGAAAGCATCGCGGAATTCTATTTACTATTTATCTATGGTGCTTTTTCTCAACAAATCCAATGATTTGTTAAAATTGTTCGTTTGATAACGAAGTAGTGTTAATTATTAAATTTCCCCTCGTCGTAGAGATTGTTTTTATCGGTTTTTATTGATTTGATCTGTGATCCTACTTTATTGTTATTTAAATTTTAAAATAAGTTAATTGTATATGTATATATATATTTGGGAAACGTACTGTGAACATTTGTACCTGAAAAACTAAAAAAAGGTGAATTTTATTGGTTTTTTAGACTAATATGAGATGCTGAACCGAAAAAAAACATAATGTACTTCTGTGCCCAAAACACCATGTTGTTTAATTTCCTATTAAGGTTTTAAAACCCTGAAGATGACAGTATAAAACTGTCGAAAGCTCGGCGAAAACCGTAAGGAAGTTTTCTCTGTTTTGACCTCTTCCGAAGATCCTCTGAAAAGACTTCTTATTAAATTTCCGTTTTTCCCAGCATCATACGTGCAAATGATGAAATGACATGAAAATAAAATGGGGCTAAATACGTTTCTGTGGCGTAATCCTACGTACATGTGTTTCCAACTTAGTTTTACACAAGGTTTTTATATTATTTATATTGTGATTATGCTCATTTCCGTCAATATTTACAATTAGTCCAATAGTATACATATATCTTTGGACTACCGCATATTTTCCTTAGATCTTGGCCATGTGTCAAGTGCACGTAAATGGAAAATAAACCCAGGCTAAAAACATTTTTTTCATGTAATTTTAAGTAAATACGTCTGTTTAAATATGAATTTTATTTTAGTTTTACGCAATAGTTACTACATTTTTGACACGAATCAATTCCTTTTTCCAACGAAATTTTCCAAACTTCATATCTTCTCTTTACTTTCATTTAATTCTCTGTACCGTTTATGCATTTGCTATATATCTTTGTACACGATGTAAAATAGTAATGTCAGTAATACATGTAAACTGAAAATAAAGCCTAACTCAAAACACTTCCGTGGGGTAATCCCACTCATACGTTGTTTTCATATCATTACTCGCGGTTTAACCTCACTTTAGGCCAAAATGAATTCTTTCTTCAAGTGGCATTTACCGCTTCTTTCATTTTCCGTTTACTTTTTTTATTTTGTTATTCTTATGTTTCTTCAATATGTTCATGTTTATCACCGGAAAACCAATTAATTTCTTCAGATTGTTGCATGACGGTATTCGTAAATGAAAAATAAAACGAGACTAAAAACATTTCCTTGGGGTATTGCTAATCACATGTGTTTAAATATGAAAGTGTTTTTAGTTTTACACAATTTACTCCCCTTTGAGTAACTCAGTTTCATCTTCTAGTGGCATTTACTAAAACTCCATAACTTCTATTTACTATTTTTATGTAAAACTATTCCGTCGGAGAACAAAATAGTTTGAAAGCCTTCAGTTTTTACCAGTATAATAATTGTAAATTGTAAATAAAACGGGGCTCAAAACACTTCCGTGGATAACTTCCACTCACGTAAATTGTTTACCCGTCATTACCTGAAGTTTTACTTTTGGATACAACCAATTCCGTTTATTTTATTTAGAGACGCATTGCAGAATTCTATACTAACGTTATATATTGTTATTGAGAAATCGTGAGATGCGGTCTGGTGTGATGTAGGTTTCAGAAAAACATTTTCTTTATCGTGCCAACGTTTCGATCTTTATTGAGATCATCTTCAGG